TGGTGTAAATTGATGGTTGCTAGATACTTGAGTGACCAGTTTGTCCACTGAGCCGTGTGAATAAAGACTGGGGAGATTGTATATGATCAGTTTAATGTTATTGTTTTAAGCCATTGTGTTAGATGCTTCATATACATTGCCTCTACTCCTTATAAAAACCATGAGAGATGAGTATTATTAGCCACATTTTACAGATGAGGAGACTGAGGCTCAGAGAGGTTAAGTAACTTGTTCAAGACAGCAAATGAGTAGTGGGGTCAGAATTAAAGTCCTAGCCTATCTGCCTCCAGGGCCGACATTCTTGCTAGACTACTATACTTATCATGGTACTTAAATGAGAATGATTCTCTTACAGGCCCCACCATGTGGATGCCTCCAAGGCAGAACCAAAGCTGGGTTTCCGAATTTATCCTGCTTGGCTTCTCCAGTGACCCCTTGTCCAACAGGATCCTCTTCATTGCCTTCCTTCTCCTCTACCTGAGCTCAGTCCTGGGCAATGGGCTGATTGTCACCCTGATCTACCTGAACATGCATCTTCATACTCCCATGTACTTCTTCCTCTGTATCCTCTCCCTGTTGGACATGAGCTACATCACTACCACCATGCCCCAGATGTTGGTACATCTTCTTGCTCATTCTCAGACTATCTCCTTTGCTGGCTGTTGGCTACAGATGTATATGTTTGGTGCCCTGGGCTTGACTGAGTTCATTTTATTTGTAGTCATGGCTTATGACCGATACATAGCCATCTGTCACCCACTGCATTATACTGTCATCCTCAGCTGGGGCCTGTGTGCACGCCTGGCAGCTGGGGCCGGGGCCTGTGGTTTCTTCTCCTCTCTGATCCATACTTTCTTTACCATGAGGCTGCCATACTGTGGACCCAACATGGTCAACCACTATTTATGTGAAGGCCCCTCGGTACGAAGCTTGGCTTGCATGGATACCCATCTCATTGAGATGGTGGACCAGGTTATCAGTGTGCTCGTGGTTGTTGCCCCACTTTCTCTCATTTTTGCCTCTTACATCCGCATTGGCCAGGCCATTCTCAAGATCAAGTCCACACAAGGTCGCTGCAAGGCTTTCTCCACCTGTGTTTCCCACCTGACTGTGGTCACGCTCTCTTATACTCCAGTCAGCTACATCTACATGAGGCCCAACTCCAGCTCTTCCCCTGAGCAAAACAAACATATCACACTCCTTTACAATGTCTTCAATGTCCTGCTCAACCCTTTGGTCTATAGTCTGAGGAACAAGGACATCAAAGTGGCTTTTCTCAAAGTGATGCGGCAGGGTCGCAAAAACTCATGAACGGGGATCTTTGAGAGACCTGGGGTAGAATGTCCAATGCTGAAGAAAGGGACAACTTTTATAGCATACACAACCAACATTGTGTATTTGCAGCAACATAGTGCTTGTTCAGTAGAACAAATGTGGCACATAAAACCAATGTGGCTGTCTTGGCCAGCTTCTACACTGTGGTGCAGTGGCTTACAGCAGCAAGAGTTTTTTTTATTGCTCATGTTTAATGTCAGTGATAGGTGTCTTGTGTCCTTCTGCCATTGGATTCTCGGGTTGAACCTGAAAGAAGAATTCCTATCTGAAACATGCCATGCTTAGGACACAGGGAAAAGAATAATGGCTGACATACATGATGACTCTTTAATTTCTGCTCAGAAGTGACACACATCTCTTTGCTCACATCCTATTGGCCAAAGCAAGTCCATGGACCTGGAAGAAGGGTCATGTGGTCATAATAAGGGCCCCATAAGAAGAACCCTATAAGAAAATGCACTTTAAGTTCAGTGGGAATGCTTGGGTTCTTCTTATGGGAGTGGTGCAGTTTTAGGGATGACAGACTCCACTGTGGGTGTGACTTGAGGTGACTGGAAAGGAGATGGGAGCAAAGGTCATTGGGAATGAGGATGTCGGGGACTCACAGTCCCAGAGTGAGAAAAGAGAATCACTCTTTTAGAGAATTGCAGGGTTGTGGTATTCTCCGGGAGAATTCCAGGTTAAGGATGTTATTGTACATAATCATTCTCTTATTTCTTATCACCATTTAAAAATTATTTAATACACATATTATTGGATGCTAACATTATAATATTGTTTTCAGGTAAAGGACTATTTAGTGAGATTGTGGTTGAATTTGAGGAGTAATTAATATAGTCTATGATCTCCTTCACTTATAAGGAGAGATGTACATTGTTAGGTAAAAATATCAAATTTTATTTGTTGTAAAGGTGTTTGAACGTTCATAGAGAGATACATATGGAAGCTGATTAGCTGAAAGTCTGGACTGTATCAGTTACCATTTATTACCTCACGGTTCCAAATGCAGCTTTCAATCTATGCTATTTAATAAACAAAATAATTCCCTTAAATATTTCTCTTTTAAAATAAGCATGATGTTAAACTTTCTAAGACAGCGCTGGAGGGACACTGCAGGAAGAATGAGGATCCCTGCATTTTCCAGCTTTGGCCACTTGCGACCCAGAAGGCACAATGACCTTGGAATCTCAGTCTGGTGCCCTCTTATCATGGAAATCAGCTGCACACTGCCAGCCACCTGCCTGATTCCCTCCAGAAGCCCTGGCATGTTCTGCATGCAGCCACCTTGTGCACTTGCAGCAAGCCTCTACCAGCATGCATACAGCACCTGTAGTCTTCAAGGTCACAGAATGAGAAGTTATTCCATCTGCAAACATATGCACTATGGAGGCTTTCTGTCCCATTAACACCCAGCATCTAACTGTATGTTCACACCACTGTTCACTAATTGCCAGCTCCCTTACCTACACTCTGGAAGGTGGCCTATAGTTCACAACTCCAGAAGTATTCTGGCTTTGCTAAACCAATGAAATCTTCTGCCTTTCATGTGAAACACATTTTCTCCAATTAGGTCTGAATTTCTCCCAGTTCTGTTCCAACTTGACTACTATTCCTTGGCCCTCAGGTACCACGTAGTGTCTCTTTATGTCTTATAGTTACTCTCATCATAGTTAATATTTCTTTATATTAAATCTCCCCTGTTTAACTTACTGAGTAGTTTCTATCTCCTTACTGGACAAAAAGAATTACAGTCTCGCCAACCCTTCAAAGTAAGTATTCTTATCACCATTTTACTAAAGAGAAAACCTGGAGCTCGGAAAACTCATGTTCAGGGTGCTTAGGGAGTCATATCCTAAGCCCACAGTTAGTAAATGAAGGGGCTGAGATTTCAACTCTATTCTCTCTATTCCATCTCTGGTTGCTACCACAGAAAATTTTCAACCCTTGGGCTTCCATCTATGTCATATATTCCTTTCCATAATGAGCGTCATCTCCTCCTCATAGAGGTTTCTCTCTGAAATTGTTTCCTAAAATTAAGGCGTATCCCAAATCTTCCCTTTGTCCTCCATCTCCTACCATTGTACTACTATCTTGATGTAGTCTGGATACACGATCAACTCTTATATTGTTTCTACTACCCTTACCTTTGCCTTGTGACTTGGGGACCTGGTGCATCCTGCTAATCTTTCTGTATGGCTCCTGCCAGCTCCTAAACCCCCTTCCTTATTACATTCCAAAGCTTGTTCAGCAAATGTCCTATAACCAGCTGCAAAATGTGAAGTCGAATAAAATCCTTCTTCATACAAGTTATAATCATCACAATGCCACCAATACCACAATCATCATTAATTCCTTATTGAGTTCACAGCACTTCACTTACATTTGGCTGCATTGAATCTGTATCACCTCCATCTGAATCATCACTTTTATCGAGAGCTCTTAGCTAATGAAGGCTCAACAATTCTGATGCTAAAGAGGCTTAACATTAATCAGAAAGAGGACTAATAGTTTGAATCGAACGCAAGTGCTTTCTTAGCACTCTATCTACTGTTGGGCCTCTTGATGTTTGAGGATAGCCCAGTTGCAGAAGCCATCAAAAATTCCCAGACAGGTACCCATCTTCACATCTCCCAAAGAGAAGTCAATGATTTTTACCTGCCAATCACCACCACAGAACATGTAGTTTTAGGTCTGGTTGTGGCCTTCTGTGCTCCAGTGGCCTCACTCAGAGACACTGCCCCAGCCTGTTAACTTGAGGAAAGCCCTCTTCACATCTTTGTTTCTGAGGCTATAGATGATGGGGTTGAGAAAGGCAGAGATGACATTGTAGAACAGAGCCAGTTTCTCGTCTCGCTCTCGGGAGGCATTGGCCCCAGGCTTCATGTACATAGACATGGCAGGTTCACAGAACATGGTTACCATGGTGATGTGGGAGGTGCAGGTGGAGAAGGCCTTGAGTTGACCCTGGGTGAAAGGGATTCTCAAGATGGTGGCAGAGATGCGAATATAAGAGGTCAGAATGAAGGAAAGGGGTACCAGGAGAAGGATGAATCCCAGAATGAAATCAACTTGGTCATTGAGAGACGTGTCTGCACAGGCCAATTTTAGAACAGTAGGAACCTCACAGAAGAAGTGATTGATCTCATTGGGGCCAGAGTGAGTCAGGCGAATTGTGAAGACAATATAGATAAGGGAACAGCTGACACCCCACAATCCACAAAAGACCACCATTGCCCCACACAGCCATGGGCTCATGATAACCTTGTACCTAAGTGGGTGGCAGATGGCTACATACCTATCATAGGCCATGACAGAGAACAGCCAGCCCTCAGTGATGCACAACACCAGAAGGATGTACATCTGCATCACACATCCAATATAGGAGATAGTTTTCTTTTGGCAGACCAGATGCACCAACATCTGGGGACAGTGATGGTGACATAATTCATGTCTAGCAAAGAGAGGACACTGAGGAAGAAGTACATGGGTGTGTGCAGGCAGGAGTCCAGGTGGATCAAGGTGACAATGAGCCCATTGTCTGCAAATATAGAGGTAGAGGAAGAGAAAGATGTTGAAGAGGATTATATTAATTTTTGAATCTCTGGAGAAACCCAGAAGGAAGAACTCAGACACGGAGCTGTGGTTCTCCCAGAAAAGATACTTCATACTCCTTCAGCTGCAGAAAGAGAAATAGACCTGCTAGTGGCCCAGCTTAGCCTCATATTCAGGTTACTTGGTCATTCGGTTGCTGGGAAGGCCAGTGGTTATTTGGATCCTAATTAGGAATAATGCCAATTCAAAGATAAAAGTCTACCTGGGGTGAAGCTAAATTTGAGGAAGGGAGGGAAACCTTCATGGAAATTTCTGTTTCTCAGCCCCAAATCTTTTTTTAAGTCCTCCTTGGTTTCATTTTATTCTGTCTATCAGCTCCCGCAAAGCCATCTGCTTTCCTTCCCTTCAGAAGCTACCAACACATAATGCATTACTTGGGGGCTCTTTTCTCCTAGTCCTGGCTGAAGACTGAGATGATGAAGATTTGAAGCTCTCCCCTCTCTCTTCTCTGAAGACAAGCAGTAAGAACACTTTCCTTTGAGGCTTTAAACATCTGATTACTCTAGTTATATAGACAGGGTGAGTCAGATATGTGGAGCAGATATATAACTCCAGATACCTTAAAAGTATTTAGAAAGTTTTTCCCAAGTTGTGTTTTTTCAATCTGATTTTCTTTTAGGTGGTGTCTCTCATCGCTCTTCCTATTCCTGGCCTTACCCATAACTAAAGGAAAGGGTCTTCGTGCTTGACCCTAAAGCTATAATTGAGGCAGAATAACAGCTGTCTTTTTTGTTTAAAGACAGATTTGGCATCTCTAAGTCTTTTCAGCCTGGTGGGAATACTGCTTCCAATGGTAATCTACCCTTTAGAGTCCCTTTCTCTCCTGGACCTGAGATTTATGATAGGCAGCGAGCCCCAGTTAAAACTGTGCTTGGGTTTAATTTATTGCTTCACAGTTAGCACTGATTCTGTGATGCCATAGAACGTGGTATATTCTAGTGCAATAGCATGCTTAGGCTTGGAGGGTCTGATGTTAATAGAAAGGAGGTGGAGGAACCCAGTGGGACAGAGAAAGGGACAGGTAGGGAGCATTAGGCAGAGGATGTCTAGGGCGGGGGGTCCGCATGGCTCAGGCCACTGACAGTGCCCTTCCTTTCCTTATCTGGTACTGGGCTCTACAAGGGATGAGCCAGGAGCCTGCTAGTTTCCCATTTAATATTTGATCCTCAGGGAGGACAAATCAGGCAACTTCTTAATAAGCTTGTGTGCTGTGGGATTCTCCAGGCCTCCAGCAGCCTTCCTCAGCCCTAAGCATGCATTTTAGCATCCCAGCTTGCATTCAAGGCCTGTACACCCACCAGATCCCTCCTCCACTCCCCACAGGCCTCTACCTACTCCACCTCACAGTTCAAGGGGACTTATGTGTGAACATCAATTAGAATAAGTGCACAGACAGAGAAGTACAGGGGCGAGGGCTAGGCAGGCATGCCAGGGGAGAATTTTATGTTCCATAAAGAATGAATAGGACTTTCCAGGCAGATTGTCAGGGAAGGACTCTATTCTGATCTCAGCCAGAGTGCCCTACTTCACTGTCTCCATCATGTTGGGTCCTGGCCTGAATTGCATCCTGTCTTGTGAATCCAAAGTGTGCAACCTTATACAGAGAAGGGAATACGCCTTGAGCAGCTTTAAGGTCCTTCACGGAACCTGACTCAGGATAAAGCAGCTGATGAATATTTCACGTGGAAGCAAAGCCCTGAACAGTAGAAAGACTTGAGATCAAATCCTGATTCTGCCACTTCTGGTGTATTATTGGACAAAATACAAGCCTCCTTGTGCTTCAGTTTCATCATCAGAAAAATGGAGCAATAACGGTATAGGGTAATCATGGGGATTAAATATGGTAAATTATTAAATTTATTAAATTATGTGGATTAAATAAGCAGTAAATTTGGTAAAACATACATGTAATTTATGTTCGAACTTACTCCCCAGTGTATGTCAGATGGCTGATCTCTTCTGCTTGTCTTACAAATATTTTTATAATTAGACTCAGAGTAATCAGGGACCACAACCACTCAGCCACCTTCTTCTGTTTCTTAGATCGGGCAGAGCACACAGTAGGTCCTTCACAATTATGGTCAGAATCAGTCTCAAGTATAGATGGAGGAGATAGCTCCTTGGATAATATTATGAGAGCTGTCTGAAGTAGATGTCTTTGATTTGAAATCACCATCACTGGAGTCATTAGTAGCACTCAGAGACATCAAATAGAGTCAGCTTGTTTTCAAACACTGTGTAGAACATTAGATTGTGACAGATTCTGAGACATAGCAAGGCTCAGTGGGAGACATCTGCCATGAGCACTGGATGGGGAGATTAGTGGAACATGCTGTAGATACTAGTATGGCGTTTAAAACGTTTCCATCAATTTTTCATCATTCCCTCTCTTATTATATGTTCAATTCAACTCAACAAGCATTTACTGACATTACACTATCACATTAGATGCAGGTAAAATGACACATTGTCTGTGCCCTCCAGAGGGCTCATGGTCTACTGAGGAGAAAGAGTCAAAACATATCAGTACACTGTGATACAAACTGTATTGGGAGAAGTCCAAGGTGCAGAGACAGGAGCGCTGATTAGCTCTGCTTGTGGGAAGGGACATGATTATTTCTCAGGAGAATCCTTGCACTGAGCTCTGTATAATGACTACAAATTTACCAAATGGATAAAAGGCAGTGCATTTCTAACAGGAAATTGTAAGTACAAAGTCACAGAGAGTGCTATGGGAACACAAAGAAGCTAGAGACTTCATGGGAAGACTAAGGTAGAACTTCAGGAGGAGGGGATATTGATACTGGCACCCTGAAGGCCAAATGACTAGACTGGAACCTAGGGATAGTTCAAGGTTAGAATCAGGCAGTGTTATGGGTTGACTTGCGTCTCGCAGAAAGATATGTTCATTATGATGATTTGTAACATGTATATACTATAAAATGATTGCCACAATTGGGGTAGTTAACACTTGTATCATTTCAATAATTACCTTTGTGTGTGTGTGTGTGTGTGTGTGTGTGTGTGTGTGTGTGTGTGCATGTGCCGCAGTAATATTCTGGAACTACTCCACTTGATTTCTGGATTTTCATATAAGTATTCTCATCTATAGGTGATTGTTAAAATTAACGTTCTTTCTGGGGGAAGATGGTAGGAAATTTTGATATCACTCTTCTCTTGTCTTTTAAATATGGGCATTTACAGCTATAAATTTCCCTCTAAGCATCCCATAGTTTTGTTATGTTATGTTTTCATGTTCCTTAATCTCAAGATATTTTCTAACTTTCCCTGTGATTTCTTTTTTGACCCATTGGTTTTTGGGGAGTGTGTCATTTAATTTTCACATGTTTTGAATTTGCTAAACTAAAAATTTTTTACTCCATATTTATTATTTTATTTTTTAAATTTTAATTAGCTTTAAGTGTATAGTACATTGGTTAGACATCTGTATAGT